AAATGCTGAGGTGTATGCTTATATGAATTCTTTGTTTGGAGAGTATCTAAAAAAGTATTCAATCGAATGCGCATTTTAAATGGTGAAAATTCTCGGACTGTAATCTAATCATTTTTCACTTACTCTTTCTTTCTGTTGGATGTTGGATTAATATAACAGTACCTTTATTTTTTTTTAGGTAAATGCTAGTGATAGTCGTGGAAAGGCTGATTCTAAAATTGAGAAAGGAATTGGTGGTAGTACTGCAAATTCCATAAAAGAACTTGTTAGCAATGAATCCCTAGGTGCTAATATTGGCAGGTAAACCTCTGCTTTCTTGAATGTTTGTATCAGAAGTATGATTATATCCATGTTGATGATTGTAGATTGCACCATCAGAAGACTGTTCTGATTATGGATGAGGTTGATGGCATGACTGCTCATAGATTTTCTATTCTTTCGGAGTTGGCTCGTGATGTGTTGGCAATTCCAATTTCTAGTGTGGCGACGGAATGCGCGTTTAGCACTGGTGGTCGTATTCTTTATTCATTTAGGAGTTCATTGACTCCTAAATGTGTGCAAGCTCTTATTTGTGTTGCACTGTATTTAAGTGTTAATACTTAAGACTGTTTTTGTTGGACTGTGTTTAACTTGTTTAACTGTGTTTAAGTTGTTTAATATAGTTGTGTAATGTGCATTGTGCAGTTTGCTAGCTTTTGCCAACTACAGTATACGCCAGATTCATTGTGCATTGTGCAGATTGTAATATTGTATANTTGTTGCATCTGTTGGAAAGATATTGTTAATTCGTTATAGCCTTTCAAGAAGTATTGGGGTGAGCCTAAAAAGATGAATAAAATGATTTTTATTGCTTCCGTCTTGGATCCACGTAACAAATTTGAATATGTTGAGGGAGCACTTGAAGAACTTTTTGGGGAGGAAAAAGGGAAAAAAATAAATGCTGAGGTGTATGCTTCTATGAATTCTTTATTTGGAGAGTATCTAAAAAAGTATTCAACCGAATGCGCATTTTAAATGGTGAAAATTCTCGGACTGTAATCTAATAATTTTTCACTTACTCTTTCTTTCTGTTGGATGTTGGATTAATATAACAATACCTTTATTTTTTTTTAGGTAAATGCTAGTGATAGTCATGGAAAGGCTGATTCAAAAATTGAGAAAGGAATTGGTGGTAGTACTACAAATTCCATAAAAGAACTTGTTAGCAATGAATCCCTAGGTGCTAATATTGGCAGGTAAACCTCTGCTTTCTTGAATGTTTGTATCAGAAGTATGATATGCCATAATCCATGTTGATGATTGTAGATTTCACCATCAGAAGACTGTTCTGATTATGGATGAGGTTGATGGCATGACTACTCCTAGATTTCCTATTCTTTCGGAGTTGGCTCGTGATGTGTTGGCAATTCCAATTTCTAATGTGGCGTCGGAATGCACGTTTAGCACTGGTGGTCGTATTCTTGATTCATTTAGGAGTTCATTGACTCCTAAATGTGTGCAAGCTCTTATTTGTGTTGCACTGTATTTAAGTGTTAATACTTAAGACTGTTTTTGTTGGATTGTGTTTAACTTGTTTAACTGTGTTTAAGTTGTTGGACTTGTTGGACTGTGTTAAGTGTTTAACTGTGTTTAAGTTTTTTAATATAGTTGTGTAATGTGCATTGTGCAGTTGGCCAGCTTTTGCCAACTACAGTATACGCCAGATTCATTGTGCATTGTGCAGAACTGCAGATTGTAATATTGTATAATATGACATATAGTATTGAGTATACTGGCGTGCAAGTTTGCAACTGCAGATTGCCAGATTGTAAAGAAGTTGTTGTCTTGTTCAGCTTTTGCTTTTCAATTATTCTTAAGCCATGTGAAATTGTGAATTGGTTATCACAGATTCACATCACAGGGGTTTCAGGTTTCAGCCACAATTAAGAGAATATAATATGTTATTATTGTTTCAGCTATGTGCACATTGTGCAGTTGTGCACTGTTATATATCGGAAAACATATTCTTTTAGAGTGAAAATTTCAATTGTGCATGTGCACTGTTAGCACTTAGCATTGATTATTCATTGATTGTTAAACCGAAACCGTACCGAAATCGTAAATTCTTACATACCGAACCGAAAATTCTTACATACCGAACCAAAATACCGATCGCCCACCCCTACCGCGTTCTGCCACGGCCACGGTCGACTATGTAATTGACCATAAACTTGGGGACTAAAGTGTAAATCGGGGAAAACTTATCCTAACCCTTTATAAACTCAACAAACTCGCCCAAGCAAAGGTTAAGCTTATTTTTATACTTAATTGGAGGCAAGAACAAGTGAGAGAAGATCAAGCAACCGTTAGAGTTTTTCAATCTTCTCTTTGTTAGTTTTATTTGCAAATTATGAATACTTTTGTGATTTTATCTTGTTTTGCTATGAGTAGCTAATTACTTAGTCTAGGGTTTTGATGGAACTTGTTGAAGGATGAACTTCGTGTTATGTTAATATATTTTGCCCAGTTTAATCTTTATTTGTTCAACTACGTTCTTGTTGTAGTTAATTGATAGGATCCTCAATTAGCTGTGCCTATTTAGTATGTATTACTCGGGAGAGAGTGCATATTTATGTAATTGTTGAACAAAATCACTCCAAAGGTATATGAGGAATCAATAACAGAGGGTTTAAAGGTGGGATTAGGGATAACGAAACCTTGGATGCGATCTAAGTGAGTTGTAATAAAAGCCAGCTAGCGTAACTCGGGAGAGTGCGTCTAGTAAATTGTCGTAATTACTCGGGAGAGATTTACGACAATAAGAGTGCTCATGATCGATAGAGACAATTAGGCAAATCTATGAGAAACATAACAGGAAGGGATTCCATCAATAGGGGAAATCACAACCTTAGATCCTTCTCTTATTTGTTTACAACCCAGTCATAGTTAGCTCTTAGTTTACTTACTTTCATTCAATTATAGTTAGTAAAAATATCACCAATTATTATTCAAAATATCTGGAAAGTTGATTACGAATAATTCAGTGAGTCTGACAAGAGTAATTGGTAGGTTAATTCCCTGTGGAATTCACCTCTGGGATAAATATTCGGATTATATTTGTAACGACCGCTTTCATTTTTGTAAGGCATAGTTGGGCGTGATCAAATTTTGGCTCCGTTACCGGGGAATTAACGGTGTTATCAATTACAGTTGAAAGAAATATAAAAATTCTTAGTGTAGTCAGTTTTCTTTATTTTCAATCTATACATTGAAATTTTAACGTTTGTTGACTTGTTTGTACAAGTGCATGCCTAGAAACTCATCGAGAACTAGTGAAGTATTTGAAGCATTATCAGATCCCGAGAAAGTTTTCAAGGCCTTGAATCGGGCCAACTGGAAAACAAACAACAACAATCAACTGAACAACTCGAACCAGACGTGGGGGATAGCGTGTTAGACCCAGCTGCGCCAGTAGCACCTCTTGTGCCAGAGGCTTCTCTATATGATTGGGCACAACCCACAGTAGATAATTTGGCCACATCGATATTAGTCTCGTAGATACAGGCCGAATCTTTTCATATAACGAACAACATGCTGCACTTGTTGCAAAATAAAGGACTATTTTCGGGGTTATACATTGAAGATCCTCAGCAGCACTTAAAGAATTTTCTATCCATCTGCAAAACTCAAAGGCAACCCAATGTAACTCAGGAAGCAATAAAGCTGGTTTTGTTTCCATTCTCAATGACAGGAGCTGCCCAGACCTGGCTAAACTCACTACCCATTAATTCCATCACGACTTGGGAGGAGTTAGTCAAGCAATTTGTGAATAAGTTTCATCCACCCAACAATACTGCTCAACAAATTGATGAAATTTTGAGCTTCAAACAGAAATCAATAGACATTACAAGAAACATATGGGAACGATTCAAAGGGATATTGGTTATATGTCTGCACCACGGTATTCCAGATCAGATGTTGGGGCAGCGGTTTTACATGGGGTTGACAGATAATGTGAAGGCTAATGTTGATAATTCAGCTGGTGGAGCATACTTGAGCAAAACAAGGAGAGAAAGCCAGAGCATGCTTGACAAGATGGCACAGAATTCGGGGTGGACAACCAAGAATGCACCTATCACTCCAGTAATTCATTCAGTACTCTTAGATCCGTCCAACACTCTTGCTGAAAACATGGCCACCTTAATGACACAGATGGGTATACTCACCAAAAAAGTGGAAGAGTTAGGGCAGAAGCAGCAGGTACACATTGTAGATACTACCAATGGGGGCTTATGCACATCTTGCATTAGTCAGCCAATTGGTAACCAATGGAATGCAGAAAGTGATCATCATTACTACCTTGAGGACATGAATTATGTATCTAAGTATGGGGGCCAGAGATAAGGTGGTCAAAATTGGGGCCAACAGAATCAACTATACAGGCCAGTCTAGCCACAACTCAACAATGGAAATATGGGAGGCATGCAACCTCACAATAATGTGGCGCCCTACCAAAGGCTACAAGGATACAACAATCAACATCAGCAGCAGGGTTATCATTCTCCTCGGCAACAACATAGTGGGAGACAGGAAGATGGGTTTGCTAGACTCGAGGCAATGATGCAACAGGTTATTGGTTCAAATGCAAAAATGAGTGAAAGGGTAGATGTACATGAGTCAGCTATAAAGAATATTGAAGTGCATATGAGCCAGATTTCGATATCTTTGAATAATCATCCTCATGGGACATTGCCTGCAGACACGTAGGTAAATCCAAAAGATTAAGGCCCGAAGAAGCTGATGGCAGTGAGTCTACGTAATGGAAGAGACTTAGACTTGGATCAAGTGAGGGCTCGAGAAAGAAGACAGGCTGAGACATTTGTACCAGTGCCTATTGAGCTAGATGATTCAACGAAACTGACAGAGGTGACAATACAGCCTGCCCAAGAAGAACCCAACACACAGATTGAGGCTGAGAAAGAAGCTGAGGTAGCCCAGGTACCAGTAGTTGAGGTTGTGTCTGACAAAGACAAAACACAAATCATTGGGAAGAAGAGACCTCCAGCACTATTCCCACAGAGGTTGTTCAAATACCAGAAAGAGGAACAATACACGAATTTTTTAAAGATGCTGAAACAAATCCAGGTAAATATTCCATTGATTGATGCTTTCAAGGAGATGCCTGGTTAGGAAAAAATGATGAAGGACTTGATGTCCCGAAAATTCGATTTCCAAGACTTGGCCACAGTGACTCTAACTCAGACCTGCAGTGTTGTGGTGACTAGACTAGTTGCTGAGAAGTTGTCTGACCCAGGGAGTTTCACAATTCCCTGCTCTATTGGTAACTTTGCTTTTGCCAAGGCACTTTATGATTTGGGGGCTAGCATAAATCTTATGCCCCTGGCGATCTATAAGAGGTTGGGGTTTTGAAGAGCTATATCCATATCTATATTGTTGCAGCTAGCTGAAAGGACCGTGAAAAGACCTTCTGGTATCTTGGATGACGTGTTGATTCAGGTAGGAAAATTTGTGTTCCCTGCAGATTTTGTGATTCTGGATTGCAAGGTGGATGAAGAAATTCCCATAATTTTGGGAAGGTCGTTCTTGGCCACAGGGAGAGTTTTCATTGATTGTGAAACTGGGGAGCTCAAGATGAGGTTGAACGATGAGGAGATAACATTCAATGTGCAGAAATCTATGAGGTGCCCAAATGAATTCTCCAGTTACTCTCTTATTGATGTCGTGGATGTAATTGTAGAAACAGATGATGAGACGTTGACTATTGAGGACCCTCTTGTTGCTTGTCTTGTAAATTTAGATGAGGTGAATGCAGAAGAATTGGCAAAATGGGTGCTCGCTTTAGAGGGCAGAGGGTTTTGGGATAGAACACTTGAATTCGAGCCCCTGCATTTAGAAAACAAAGAAACTCCTCCAGCCACACCATCCATAGATGAACCACCAAAGCTGGAGTTGAAGCCACTGCCCGCCCATCTCAAGTATGAGTTCCTAGGACCTAACTCCATATTACCTGTTATTATCTCATCTAGTTTGTGAGATGTGCAGGCACAACAACTTTTGCAGGTACTCAAGGAGTGCAAGACTGCAATTGGGTGGACCATGGCAGACATTAAAGGGATCATCCCGGCATGTTGTATGCATAAAATTCTGCTGGAAGAGGGGCACAAACCTTCCAGGGAGCACCAAAGAAGGTTGAACCCCAATATGAAGGAAGTGGTGAAGAAAGAGGTGATTAAGTGGTTGGATGCGGAATCATTTACCCCATCTCTGACAACAACTAGGTTAGCCCGGTGCAATGTGTTCCTAAGAAGGGTGGTATGATGGTGGTCAAAAATGATAACAATGAGCTGATCTCTACAAGGCTGGAGAATTTGTATGGACTATAGGAAATTAAATCTGGCCACCTGGAAAGACCACTTCTCACTTCCCTTCATTGATCAGATGCTTGACAGATTGGCAGGGAGGTCCCACTTCTATTTTCTGGATCGGTACTCAGGGTACAATCAAATCTCCATTGCACCAGAGGATAGAGAGAAGACCTCCTTCACATGCCCATATGGAA